TCTTTGAGAGCAAGAGAGTAAGCAGAGAGTGAGTGAGTGAGAGAGCCAGTGAAATAGAAAGAGAGAGGAGGGAGGGGACAGGCTGCTGTAATACACAAAGCCTAGAATTAGCAAACGTGGACCCTGTTTCTGAATTGGCCATTCAGGAGCAGCATACGCCAGGGCCAGAGACAGGTCTTTAAAGCCACTGTAAAACTGTGACCTGGTGGCAGCCTTGCCTCGCAGGCCAGACTCATGAAGACAACCTGACACCCTCGAGGTACTTTAAAACACATGCGTTATTAGCGTGTGTGCACACGTGTGTGCATGTGTGGCGGTCAGATGATAGCAGACTCTCCTTCTCTTGTGTGGCTTTTGTGGCTCACACTCACTGTCAAGCTTGCAGGTCACCTGCGTTTACAGCCGCCCATCTGTCCGGTTCACCGGGGTGCACGTCCACCCAGCTCTCAGACAGGACTCAGAGTTTCCTCCCTTCCCCCAGGGGGATGGTAGGCTACCCTGCTGTTCCATAATTGCATACGCTTCCAGCGCGGCCTGGGGTGAGTGGGTGAGTGGGTCTTCAATGGAACTGGCCCATTTCTAATCATATTTGAGAGCAAACGCCTCCTGGAGGGGGGTGAGGGTGCAGGTGAGAAAGCACTCCTACTAGGAAATAATATTCTCTCCTAAGCTGTGGGAAAAGAGTCTCTCTCTCTCTCTCTCTCTCTCTCTCTCTCTCTCTCTCTCTCTCTCTCTCTCTCTCCTCTCTCCTCTCTCCTCTCTCCTCTCTCCCCTATCCTTAATATTTCCTGAAAACTCCTCTGGTAGTACATTGGGTAGGATGTGCATGCGTGGTGGGGGGGTGGCAGCGGGGCGTGGGGGGGGCAAGGAGGGGGTAAGCCAGCACTTTGACATGTGACCTTCTATGTCTTTCCTAAGCAGTGCCAAGGTGGACAATGTTTTAGATACTGTCCTCTCAGGCCATAGCACACTGTTGGGAAGTGGTAGGACCTTTAAGAAGTGGGACTGGACTAGGCTTTCTGAATAGGGAGACAGTTGTGTAGCTTGATCTGCTTAAGGGGCCCCCTGGCAGTAGGATCAGAATCCAAGAATCCATCCCCGGTGTGTGTGGGGCAGGGGGTGGTGTTGGACCTGCCTCTACTATATGTAGCTCCCCATAGGAGGCCTTACCTTCTTGTAGGAGGGAATGGGGGGGTAGTTTGGGAGGGGGAAGTTGGAGGGGCGGGAGGAGGGAAGAGGGGGATTGTTGATTGGTATGTAAAATGAATAAAAAATTTTCTTAATAAAAAAAATGATGTGGGGCCTCGGGTAAGGGAGTTAGGTATTTGGGGGTGTGCCTTTGGAAAGTTCCTTGATGCCCTGGTCTCTTCTCACCGCCCCCCGCCGCCCTGGCACACCCACGGCACACCCACTCTGATAGGCTGCCTCCGCACAGGCACACAAGGATGACTGTGGACAGAAACCACAAAAACTGTGAACCAAGAGAAGCTTCTCTTCTTGCATTGATTGTCTCGGGTATTTTGTCACCGTGACAGGAAGCTGATTCACAGTGGACCTGACAGGTGGCTCTCCCAGCAGTGAAGACCTGCTTCCACCATCAGTGGCCTGTTAGCAAACAGGCTATATACGTTTCACATACCTGCCTGGAGACTTCTGGGGTCTGTTCTTCATAATTCATACCTTGAGCACCCACACCTCATCTTACATAGCAACACTGGGGTTCCAGATGTCTCCCCTGATCCCAGCTAAGCCAAGGGCTCTGCCCACCTTCCCTCTCCATGGCAAGAATTTGAATCTAACACACCCATGAGGGTTCTTCCTTGTGTTCTGGGCTCATACCTGAGCTACTACAGTGTGCAACTCCCTGTCTTGGGCTGATTTATTTCCCCATCATTTACTTAGAAAGCTTGCTGTGGCCTCCTGGCCCCCAGCACCATGCTGGGCTGCAAACAAACTTCCTGCTGGCTGAAATTGAGATGGTTCAGTGGGTAAAGATGTTGGCAGCCAAGCCTCGTAATCCAAGTTCCATCTCTGTAATCCACAGGGTAAAACAGAACCAACACTCCTGTACATTGCCCTCTTACCTCCATATTCATGTCATGTCCATGTACACATACACACACACACACACAATACACACACATATATATACTCAAACACATAATCATATATGCATATATATGTGAATGTTTTAAGAAATTGTGTTTTAAAGATCTGATATCAATTTCAGTTCTTTGGAGTGCTCTGAGGTTAAGAACAATCGCTATGCAATTGTGAGTTCAATCAGAATCTGCATAGAAACCAGGTGTGTTTGTACATGAGTCTGTAACCCCAGTATTGTGAGGGAGCAGAGACTGGGCTTGCTGGAAACCAAGACGCTTCAGGTTCAGTAAAAGATACAACCCCCTCAAGGAGTAAAAGAAAAAGTCATAGAACAGGACACATGACATCCTCCTCTGGCCTTCATGTGCATACACAGGCTCACATATGCACATATACCTCTCTCTCTCTCTCTCTCTCTCTCTCACACACACACACACACACACACACACACACACACACACACACACACCAAAAATTCCTTAAAATATGATTTCAGCATTTCTTTTGAGTAGCTTAAAGATCTTGCAACATTAATCTGACTCTGGAGTGGAAAAAAAATCCAACTCCAACGCAGATTTTCCTCCTGTCCATTCACAGCTCTGGTCACCTGTGATCCCAGAGGGCGTGGTGCTTTTACCCACCTGCAAGAACCAGTCATTGTCCCTGGACAACAGCTGGATATCCCCTAGTGCAATCAGCTCTGACAGTATGAACCTAGGGAAAGCATCTGACCCCAACATGGGGTTGAGGGCCCCGTCCTCAACATGGCCTCACTTCATACAACCAGCTCTAAGCCCAGTCCTCTATAATAAAACAGGGTCCTTCTAAAATAAGCATCTTATCACTCAACTTTCTCATAGGGTAGAGCAGTGCACTGGTTTTTATTTCAACTTGACACATCAAGTTGAGTCATCAGAGAGGGGGGGAGCCTCGATTGAGAAAATGTCTCAATAAGATCGGGCTGTAGGCAAGCCTATAGGGCATTTTCTTAATTAGAGATCAAAGAGGGAGGGCCATTAGGGGTGGGGCCATCCCTGGGCTGGTGGTCCTGGGTTCTATAAGAAAGTAGACTGAACAAGCCATGGGGAGTAAGCCAGTAAGCAGCACTCCTCCATGGCCTCTGTCTGTATCAGCTCCTGCCTCCAGGTTCCTGTCCTGTTTGAGTTCCTGATCTGACTTCCTTCAATGAACTGCTGTAGCAACAGAAGCCAACACTGTTGTAGAAACATAAGCCGAATAAGCCCTTTCCTCCCTATCTTGCTTTTGGTCATGGTGTTTCATCATAGCAACAGTAACCCTGACTAAGGCAGAGAAGGCCTTGACAAAAGCAGAAAAAGGTGGTAATAGATACTTAGTTTCTAGGGGATGCTTGGAAAAAAAGAAATCTCAGTTTGCAATGCTCAGTGTTGTATGGAGGGTCAGGCAAAAGGACAGCATCACTCTATCCCAACCGTGTTCCAGCCTCCAAAGAAATAACGAGGGTGGGGGAGGGGCAGCCATGAACGGTGCGCGAAAACAGCAAGGACCACAAAATCTTACAACCCCTGTGACTAGGTTTGAATGACTCATTCACCTGTGTCCTCTGCCAGTGTGGCAGGCCTCTCTGTCCCTTGCCACCTGCTTGGTCTGCTTGCTTTCATTCAGTCTGCCTGCTCACCCTTCCTCAGCAGCTTTATTTTACCCTTGTTACTGAGGAACAATAACAGCAGTGCTTGACTTACAACAGGGCCAGGTCTCCATGGCCCTGTCTTAAGTCGAACACACTGTAAGTGAGCATGCTTACCGTTCACCTGACCCCCTGAGCTCTGTGACTCGGCTTGCCCACTTCAGTCCGCTCAGAACCCTTCCACGCCACTAAACCCTCTGGGGCAGGGATCTCCTGCAGTTGTGTGGGCATGTTTTGTACTGTGGTAAAGTCAAAACATTTAAGCGGACTCTTGGTGAGTCTGGGGACCGTGCGTGCCTGTGTGTGTGTGTGTGTGTGTGTGTGTGTGTGTGTGTGTGTGTGTGTTCAGCACTTCCTCGGGTCAGTTTGAGCTATTTTGTCACTGTTCTGGCAATGGAGGTAACAACTGGTAGGAACACAATCCTTCCCTTTCCGGGAACGTCCATTCTGACAGACAGTTTGGGGTCTACCAATGGACGTGGGGAAGGGGTGCCATCATTAGAGTGGTGGATAAAAGGCCTTGCTGAAAAGGTGACTGGGTGAAGGATTAGAAAGGCATCCCATGCAGAGAGAGGTTAAGACCAGGCTTTTTGGAGCCCACTACCCATGATGGGACACCTTGGCACAGCCTTGAGGCGGGGGAGGAGCTTGGACCTGCCTCTTCTAAATGTACCTCCCCATGGGAGGCCTTACCTTCTTGTAGGAGGGAATGGGCGTGGGTTTGGAGAGGGGGCAGGAGGAGGGAATGGGGGGGATCTTTGATTGGTATGTAAAATGAATTAAAAATTTTTCTTAATTAAAAAAAAGAAGAAGAAGATGCCCTAGGTTAAGTGGCAGGGCTGGAATTTTAAACCCAGCTACCTGGAGCCCCCAAATCCCTAACCACAGCCTTACAAGGTCCTGTGGGAGCCCCTGGGATGGGGGAACACACACAGGGACCAGGATGACTTTTCCAGGACTTGAGTGCAGGAGAATGCCTGATTCAAGGGTCCCCACTCTGGTCCTTTCTTCTCAGCAGACACAGAGGAGGTGAGTGACTACTCTCAGCTCTTTATTTTAATCTCAGGAGGGCTCTGTGCCCCTCCTCCTTCGAAGGACTGGGAGGGACTGTCTGCAAATCCCCCCCTAATCCATCAGCACCTGGGTCTCCACCCTACAGCTGCCCACAGCCTCGCTAGCCAGGCGACCACACTTGTCCCTCCCGCCCCCACGGCGCCCACTCTCCCTCACCATGGGGAACAGCAAGAGCGGGGCTCTGTCCAAGGAGATCCTGGAGGAGTTGCAGCTCAACACCAAGTTTACGGAGGAGGAGCTGTGTGCCTGGTACCAGTCCTTCCTGAAGGAGTGCCCCAGCGGCCGCATCACGCGGCAGGAGTTCGAAAGCATCTACTCCAAGTTCTTCCCGGACTCAGACCCTAAGGCCTACGCGCAGCACGTGTTCCGCAGCTTCGATGCCAACAGCGATGGTACCCTGGACTTCAAGGAGTACGTGATCGCGCTGCACATGACCACGGCGGGCAAGCCCACACAGAAGCTCGAGTGGGCCTTCTCGCTCTACGACGTGGATGGCAACGGGGCCATTAGCAAGAATGAGGTGTTGGAGATCGTCATGGTCAGTGTGTCTCTGTCCCGGCCACCTGTGTGGGATCCCCGGGGAGGAGGGCATGGGGTGGAGGGCACAGATGCTGTGTAGCCCAGTGGAGTGGGAAAAGGAAGGACCTCCAACGTACCGAGAGAATTAGGGGGTACCTCCCCGTAGTGTCATCTGCTTCCCAAAGAACAATCGGGGTGTTTCCTAATACAGTTCAAATTTTCCCTTCCTCCTTCTTCCCTCCTCCCCCTCCTCTCTCCCTCTCTTCTCTTCCTCCTTTCCTCTCTCACACGTTTTCCCCTTTCCCATTAAGTCTTCAGGTTTTTTTTTTGGGGGGGGGGTTGTTTTGTTTTATTCAGTAACACACATGTAGATTCTACGACAGTAAAGTTGAAACACATATGCTTCAATTATAAAGCATTGACCACAGCGGGGGACATGGTAGATTCCTAGATTGGTCCTGATTGGTTCTCTTCCTAATCCTGGTGTGGTGGGCCTAGGCAGGGATCCTCAAGGTTCCTGATCCGATCTGTGGAGTTCTCTGTCTCCTCTCCCTTCTGCCTACGGTTTGTTCTGAGTATTTTTGCTATCTTACAAGTAGTTCCTTTCTATCTGATATATAAGCAGTCTGTGAAATTTAGAAACGATGCCAAAGGGATGTTGCAGACTAAAATCCATAATCCATGTACTGACTGTTAGTACATTGCTACACGCCTTTCCAGTGTTTTATCTGCTTTAAGACAGTTCCGGAATCTTAACATATTTACATGTGACTTTTCCCCATGCCTTTCCTGTTATTCTTTTATCATGAGTATTTTCTATATCATCACAGATATTTCAGAAACATTTTATTTTTCTAGGAGTCTTCCTGTACCGTTCAGGCTGTCCTCAGGTTCTCAGCCTTCTTACCTCAGTCCCCACAGGAGCTGGGATTACAGATGTGACCACAGGCAGTTTAAAAATATGTTAAGAGCTACTTAAAATTCTACCCTATGGAAATGTCTTAAGGTCAATCATTCAAGCGTCCTATAGTTTTAGACATCAGAGAACTTCAATTTCCCCCCATATCATGTCACTGAAGTTCTTTCTTTGAGTGTCTTCCGATTTTCCTCCTAACCCAGCCCCCCACCCCGCCCCATCCCTATCACTTGCTTTATTTTTTGAATTCCATTCCTGTTAGAAGGGACAATATTCTTCATATTTTGTGTAATGTTTGGTGCATTTGTAATCATGCTTTTTTACTTGCAAAATTCTCCCTGTCCCTTATTAGGATAAACCACAAACATGATAGCAAGGCCTGTAGCGAGGGGCAGGCTAGGTCATCTCTGGAAAAGGGTCCAACATGTGGTGCTCTCACTGTCTGTGGGGCAAAGCCTGCAGAGCAACCTCCTCTGGGTTAGTTTTGGAGTCCCTGGGTGGCACGGGGTGGGGACCAATTCAAAGCCACCTAAAGAGTGCTAGGTTGATGCTCTTCTAGGAAAAGAGGAAGGAGAGGAGCAGAGAGAAGAGGCAGGGAGGAGAGGCTGAGTCCAAGGCCTCCATCGTCACCGGGTCACAAGGTCATTGTGAAAGCATTGGTCTGGAAGCCAGAAATGATGAGTTCTTGTGCCAGCTCTGACACCAACTCACTATAAGACCGTGGGAAATGCATATAACCTCCCCTGGTCCAGGGTGAGGCTTTGATGATTTCTATGGCCTTTCCCAGAACCCTGAGGGCTTGACTCCCTCCCACTCTACCACCAGCCCGCTCAACGTTGGAGGAGAGGTCACACAGATAGCCAGTCACAGCCAGTATTTAGCCATCATGCCTGGACATGGTGCCGGTAGATCAGGAGAGAGGAATTCTGGGAGTCATCTATACTTCTGTTCATTTCAGGGGGTCTGTGTGCTGCCTATAAAACCCCTTCCCTGGACTACCGGGGTTGGTGTCCTTCTCGTCCTAGCACCAGTGGGCAAGGGCATTTCTTATGGATGTTGACCCTCCTGAAGTCCAGGCATTGTTACCCTTTTGTAGTGTCCTTGAGTCTCCAGGGAGGCAGGGGGTTTGGTCAAAGGCAGCAGCTGCCCAGGTTCTCTTGTCAATGTACTTACCCACGGTCTGAGGCTGCCTAACAACTGAGGATCTCTAGCCTTGAGTGTCCTCTGTGAACCTGGCTGGACCTAGAGCTGCTGAGCCAGTAGAATCCTAGAAACCTGGTATCAGGATAAACAGGGACCACCTTGTTCACTTCTCTGATGTCATATAGGTCAGGAGCACTTCTGGCTTTGTCCTCGATTGGAGGAATCCTAACATATTTACATGTGACTTTTCCCCATGCCTTTTCTGTTATTCTTTTATTATGAATATTTTCTATTTCATCACAAGTTTTTCAGAAACATTTTATTTTTCTGGGAGTCTCCCTGTGCCGTTCAGGCTGTCCTCAGGTTCTCTGCCTTCTTGCCCCAGTCCCCACAGTAACTGAGATTACAGATGTGACCTCAACCAGATTAAAAATATGTTAAGAGCTACTTAAAATTCTATCCTATGGAAATGTCATAAGGTCAATTGGGATAAACAGGTACCACCTTGTCCAATTCTCTGATCTCATTCATATAGGTCAGGAGCACGTCTGGCTTTGTCCTCAATTGGAGAGAGAAGAGGCTGGAGGGGATCCCTGGGCCCAACACCCAGCCTTTCTCTGGATTCCTCCCTCAGCTGGAGGGTATCTAAGGGGATTTCTGTGTCCCAAGCAGACATTTGCAAATCTTGTTCACATCTCCCTTCCACGTCCCTAACCTAGTCCATGATCTTCAGAAATGAGATAAGCAGACTCAGGTATAATGCAAGAATGCAGATTCTAGAACTTATCTGCCCGTGTTAGAATCTCTGCTGCCCTGGGTAACTTTGCAGGAGTTTGATGTTTCCAGGTTTGCTTGCTGCCTGTAAAATGGGACCAACAACATCCTCTCTGTAAGGTTCTCTTGAGAATTAATCTAAAAATGCTTAGAAGAGTGATGTGAGTGTGTAGATAGATGTTAGCCTTTATGGTCATAGGCCAACATCTGGTTAGTCCTGCTAGAGAACTGGGAAAGAGAACCTTGCAGACCCAGAAGACACTGTTTGATTCTCTCAAGCCTGTAGGAGGCAGGGTCTGTGCTAGTGGCCCCCAAACTTCAACCTCGGCGCTGCTGTGAGATAATTGTTGGGATATTTCTATTTCTTACTTTTTTTTTCCTGAACAAAACTATGGCGTCTAGTCAGAAAAGTCAAATGGCACACTAAAAAGCAAGTTTTCCTCCATATTCACTGTCCCTTACAAAGGTCTCAAAGGTGCTAATGATGCCTGGGTCCCGCCCTCAGGAATTTTGATTCAGTAAAACGTGTGGGGCTTTGGTAGGCACCTGGACTGTAAACTTGTTGCCTTGGAGGGCACCTGATGCTCCAGGCTGTTTGGGTATCAAGAAAGAGAAGTAATGATGTGGTGGCCCAAATAATGACCAGGGGCTTCCTTTTCTACACATCCTCTCCAGCACTTACCTCTGGTCTTTGTGTCTGGGGTGGGAGTGTTTATTGCTGCGCTGAGGATCAAACCTGGGCCTCCCGCAAGCTAGAGCTTTACCACTGAGCCATGTCCCCAGCCCCATCTGACAAGAGACCCAGACAAAGCAAGCTTTTGCAAGAGTAGCTGTCCCAGCAGGTGGAAGGGATACCTTGCTATGGTCTTGATTTCCATTGGACCTAATGACTAATGAAGCTGAGCACCTTTTCACATACTTGTTGGCCATCTCTCTTTTTTATTTATGTTTTTTAAAGAAATGCCTGTCCAGTTCCCTTGTCTGTTTTTAATTCAGTTGTTTATTGTTTTGTTTGCTTCTGTGTGTGGTTTTGTTTATTTGTTTGTTGTTTGTTTGTTTGTTCGTTTGTTTGAGACAGAGTCTCACTATGTAGCCCTGGCTATCTTGGAGCTCCCTGTGTAGACCAGGCTGGCCTCTTTCTCTTTTTCCACCACCCTCAATGGCACTTACTGTTTTAGCATTGAGTTGGAGGTGTTCTTCATATATGCTATATATTAATCCCTTATTAAAGTAATCCTTATCAAAGGATTGTAAACATTTTCTCCTATCCCAAGGTTATCTAATCTTGTTGTCTCCTTCGCTGTGTAGAAGCTTCTTAAGTTGTAATATAATCCCAATAGTTCAAATATCATTATCACAACCAACGTCATGAAGCTTAATGCGCCCTCCAGGAATTATATAGTTTGGGCTGGAAAATTAAGTCTTTAATCCATCTCTGGTAGATTTGTGTGTAGTGCGAGACACGGATTTCTCATTACCACTAAGCCCTTACTGCTCCTTGTGACTAGATCTTTCTCTCGGTCTGCTACAGGCTATTTTCAAAATGATCAAGCCTGAGGATGTGAAACACCTTCCAGATGATGAAAACACCCCAGAAAAGCGGGCTGAGAAGATTTGGGCATTCTTTGGAAAGAAAGAGGATGGTGAATTCCATTGTCTTTATTATTTCTGACTTTACAGCCTCTGCTATTTCCTGGAGACCCCCAGCAGGATTCCCTCTTCTGAGTCCCAGTGCCCAGGCCGGGGACACTTCTTGTCACCACACTTTCTCCAAGCTATCTTCAAAGTCAAGGGTAGTGGTCAGCCAGATGCATCGGCGAGGACTAGGTCTACTACTACCCTCCAGCCGATGGAGAGTACCAACACACCCCTATTACTCACCAAACTCACTCACTGCCTGGGCTTGCGGGGGAAGGAAGGAAAACACTATATATCCCAGGTTGACAGTGAACTAGTGGTCCTCCTGCCTCAGCTTCATGAGTACTGGGGTGTCAGGTTTGGCAGTCTTTTAACCTAGAGCTAATGTAAAGTGTGCAGGCTCCCTGGCCATGTGTACACACTGGCGAGTTTAGAGGAATGCTGCCCTTTCTCTCTTCTAGTTACTTGCTATGCAGATGTTCCCTGCACAGTGAGAACAGGAGAAGACAGCAGCTCACCCAGCAGAGACCCCAGGACTAACCAAGAAGTTACTTTCAGTGACCTCAAAACCCCACCAAGAAGGGATTAGAGTCAATGACATTGCTAGGAGTTTATTGAGAGGACAGCCACCAAGGGAAACCGGGCAGGGACCTGTGGCTGGGAAAGCCCATGTCATGAGGACCTGGCCCCCATCTGGGAATCAGTACAGGGATAAAGGACAGGGAGGAAGGATAGGTAAGAAGCACCTAGGCCGTGACACTCTAAGACAGTGCTGGCAGTCATTGGGATGTCCTCACTGGGCCTTTCAGTGTCCTTGCTCTGCTTAGTGGCTGCCTGGGAGCAGCCTCTGGAGCTTGAAAGAGTGATGAATTCCAGAATGTGGCGGCTAGAGCTGTTGGTTCATGGCACGCACAGCCATTACAGGAAGGATACAGTACAAGAATTGGTATCATCATACACACACACACACACACACACACACACACACACACACACGCACGCGCGCGCACACACACACATACGTACGCACGTGGGGGTGGGAGGTGGGACGAAACAACAGACAGACAGACAGACAGACAGAAAGAGTCAGACTGACTTGGTGTCAGACAGGGTCTACAGATTCATAGCCACATGGGGTTTGATAATGAACTTGAGTGCAGTGGATGATAGCCCCACTGAGAGACAGGAACTGGTAAACAGCCCTGAAGAGTTCTCACATTTCCCCTAGGGAAATATGGAGCTTATTGCTACCATGTCATATAATTTTCTTTTATTTTTTAAGAGATGTAAGCATCTCTTAAAACCCGAGGTGTCTCAGTAAATACAGTACAGCGTGGCTCAGGCATGTCTGACACACCCTCATGTGTCCTCTGGGGCACGCTCTTACCAGGGCTAAAGAAACAAATCCTCAGAAGGATACAAAATAAAGGTGGAGATGATCTATCTCTACTCCACAGTCAAATGATGGCGTCAGAGGAAGACCCTTACCGGGGCTAAAGAAACAAATCCTCAGAAGGATACAAAATAGAGATGGAGATGGTCTGTCCCTACTCCACAGTCAAATACTGGCGTCAGAGGAAGACCCTGGGGTGGGAGCCAGTGTGAGGGAAGCAGGCTCTCAGAGCGCGCAGTTCATAGCGGTGCTCACTCTCAAGGGGCAGCCGTATCCCTGCACTCCCCTAAAAGTGAACAACTCCTTACATATTGTGCCTAGGCACCCCCCTGGTTCCATTGTGCACCCAGCCCCATTGGCACTTGCCCCCTGAACACTTGGCTTGCATGGATTCTGGCTGGGTTAGATGGCTTCCTGTGACGCTTAACTTCTGAATCCTCCCCCACTTCCCTCTGGGTCTGTCTGTCCACATGTCAGGGTCCCTCTGCTACTTTTTGCTAATCTGAAAAGTGCTCCACCCAAAAGGCTATGTTGGAATGCTGGCTGTCACTGCTGGTGTGTGTGTGTGTGTGTGTGTGTGTGTGTGTGTGTGTGTGTGTGTGTGTGTGTTTCACATGCCTCATCTGAAGACAGCATTGTCAGAGTAGCAGGCTCCAGGGATGGGACTTTCAAGCTTGGAGTGAGGCTGGTGAGGCAGTTAGAACTTTGAAATCCAATTTCACCACCCAGACTTAGGCAGAGAAGTATCCTGGATCGATCCCAGCTCCAGTGAGAACTAAGGATGTCCAAAGGCCATGAATGTAAGCCAATGGAAGTTGAATCTAATTCTGCAGTATTGTGTCCACACTGTACTGAGGATCCTGAGAGTAACCCTGAACAGGAAAGATCTGTCTCACCCTAGACTTCTTTCTACACGGGAATGTCTTCCCACAAGACCCTCTGAGGATGAGCTTTGCCTCACTCTCTTCTGCTACACCCCAGCCTCTGTGATATTTGTAACCCCAAGAACAGTAGCATGAAGCCCAGAGAGGAAGGGTGCAGTGCTATGCATTTGGCTAGACTGAGACACACGCACACACACACACACACACACACACACACACACACACACACTCACGCACGCACGCACGCACGCACGCACACAAGGAAACCTGGCTGGCTGGAAGCAGAGGCTCTCTCTCTCCATCCTCATCCCAAATGAGGTAGAACAGATTGAGAGAATTGCAAGCAGGGGAGGCAGTCACAAAGGATGTGTCACCTGGTGTCACAAGGTTGTTTGACTATTATGGGCACACAAGAGACTTTGCTGCAAGCAAGGCTATCCTTCGCATGCCTCTATTCCCTTGATCTCTCGCTCGTCACTCCTTTGGGGACACAGCTCCTGCTTCCGCACTGAGACTTTAGGCCTGCCTCTCTCAGCCTCCTAGATTTACCCACAGAACTTTAGGCTGGAGCTGGGGGGTAATTTTGAAGGCATATGAAAAGAGGTATTTATAATCATTGATGATTTCGATGTGTAATAACCAACAAGGCAAGAGCTCTGCCCAAGCAGAAGGAACAGGGTATAGGAATAGGTTCTGGGAGACATCTATGATGCGAATATTTGGTTGTCTTGGGCTGATTTGAGGGAGGAGGTTCAAGGGTCTTGAAGAAGGGGTGACATCTGGGAGGGTAGTGGGGGTCCCTGGGAGTGCTGAGTGTTCAGTATATTTTCACACAGTTTTACTAGGTGTGGAGGTTGGGGATCACCCTCTGCAGCTTGAGACGGCCGGTCCTGACTAATGCTTCTCCTCGACTACACAGATAAACTCACCGAGGAGGAATTCATCGAGGGGACCCTGGCCAATAAGGAAATCCTACGACTGATCCAGTTTGAACCTCAAAAAGTGAAGGAGAGGATAAAGGAAAAGAATCAGTGATGGGAACTGCCCACCTCCTCCCCCACCCCTCACATAAACACCCGCAGTGTGAGCATGCTCATATGTCAGCATGCTTGCGTGCACACACGAGTGGGCACACACACACACAAACACACACACACACACACACACACACACACACACACACACACACTGGGCCTGGAGAGATGGGGAACCAAACCTCTCCTTGCCAACTAAAGGTCCTTAGCAGGACACGGTTTCTGCTTCCTTTTGTCTTCGGTGACCGTCCCTTCCCACCCTACCTGTCTCCTTCTCCTGCCCAGGTAGCTTTGTGATAATCCCAGGCTTAGGTCGTAGGAGTCCCAAATGTCAGCCCTGCTTAAGCTCCTTTGGGGATTGCTGGGTAAGCAGGTTGCAATAAAAGGAGTGGGCACACAGCTGGCTGATCATTTTCCACCTGGAAAAGGAACCGCTTCCTGGCAGCTGGAGGGGTTGATGTGATTGCAGCTCTAGGCCAGCAAGGGTGCTGAAGGAGATGTGCATGGCCCTGAGTGGTGCTCTCCTGAGAGATAAAGGTCTCTGAGGGAAGATGATGGATCTTGTTTCTTCGGGTTAGGTTTTTTTCAAGACAAAGTCTCACTCTGGAGCCTATGCTGATCTTGAACCCAGAAAGATCTACCTGCTTAAGCCTTCCATGAGCTAACATTACAGGCATGGGCCTCTCTACCAGGCTGATGGAGCTTAATGCCAGGACCAAGGTTACCATGGTGACATGCAGAGCACTAAGGGAATACATAACACTCTAGGGGCTGGCTTGTCAGTAATGACCAGAGACGCTATTTCCGATGAAGCGATACATTCAGACCCACTCACAGCAGACTCTAGGGGGAAATGGGAGGAAGGCGGAGAGCTCGAATCTCAGAGTGACTGGCACAGCCACGGATGCAGGAAGGGGCATCTGCTTCCAGAGAACTGTAATCCTGAAATGTCCTTTGCAGCCTTTGCCAGTGCCTGTGCCAGTCCAAGTAGGAAAGGCTTGTTTTGGGGAGCAAGCTCCTAGCAGGGTGGATAGAATACGTGGGCGAGACTGGGGGCCAGTGGTGACAATGGTGGCCTGGGTTCAGGAGTGGCAGAAGGACGAAAGGACAGCTGCAGAGGGTACTCCTGCCACTGACACATGAGAAAAAAGAGGAGCAAGGATGGCAGGGGGCCCGTGGCTGGCTACGTAGCAGTGCCATCTACCGAGACAGGAAACCTTGGGGTGGCACTGTTTTCAGGGGATGGACAGGAGCCCTGACTGGTTGGGTGGGTAGTGAAGAGTGAGCCATAGATGCCCCCCTCTCCCCGCCCCCAGGCCCTCATGTAGGAGACAAGGAAACAGAACTCATAGAAGCAGCTTGTCCAAGGCCAGCCAGCTGAGAGGCAGAGACTGAGCCAGGGACATGTACCAGTCAGTATACATGGCTCCCTTGAAGCTCCAGGGCTGGGGCTACCCAAGAATGCCTCAAGTGGCTTCTCCAAGACCACAAGACTCATGTAGAAAGCCCATTGATTCTCCAGCCTCGAGTTCCAAGATGAGGTCAGGGAAATATATGGATGCTCTGACCCTTCATCGACCTGTACACAACTCCCTGAGGCTGGGGTGTCTCCCTTTGCTGGTGTTTGGGGCGATCCTTTGCAGCTCCCAAGACTTAGCCACAGTGATGTCCCAATCACCAACCCAGAGACACTGCTCTTGGGAGAAAGAGAACAAGACAGTGAGCACCTGAATGCTGTCTGTGAGTCAGGCACAGTGTGAGGCTCTTTGTAGTTACTATTTTAGGGGTAGAAGTATTACCACATCTGCAATACAGATGAGAACACTGAGGAAAGAAGAGTAGGACTTAGGACTTACATTAGAGCCTTTCTGATGACACCAGGGTGCCTGCAGAAGTTTTGATCCTGGACATGACAGGATCATGAATCTTGGGATAGTTCATCATCTATGGCAGAAGAGAGATGCAACACACAGCATCTCCGGAGCAATTCAGGGATGAGGGAATGATTGGACAGATCACCTGTTTAAGATGCTTCTCTGTTATAGAAATGGTGGGTACCTGGGTGCCAGTGCAGGGAGGGGACTGGGGCATTTAGTCTATCCCACAGTGACTTCAGGATCCCCTCCAGGCCTCTTCCCATCCCTTCCTTGATTAAGACTCCTGGTGGACTATGAGACTGGGGCCTTCTTATTTCCATCGGAGGTCTGGATATCATTGTCACTCAAGTCTGAAAGAACAGGCTGCCTAATCATGAAGTCCCTGTGGCTCCCACAGATTCACCCATAAGTCTCTTAGCGCCTGGTGCCCTTGCTGTGCCCGGACACCAGATTTTCCACTACGGCGGGCATGGTTGTAGGACTCCTGATGTGCTGCAAAGTCTTCTGTAGGAAGATCCGTTAGAGTGACTCCATGATAGACGTGGCAGTCATCATGAGAAGCAGCTCTCCTAGAGCAGTCGATCGCTTTACTTCCCTCCTCAGGCTTAGACACTACCCATGGAGCCAGGGGGTGATAGACACCAAGATGTTCCCATTTTTGGATCCTGTGAATAATTCTTCTATAGATGGCAGCAGATGCCTTGGTTCCTGCTTCCCGACTTGGGGTATTCAATCAGGATATCCGCAGTCAGATCCAGCCATGCCTGGGTTTCTGCTTCCAGACACTGGGTATTCTATCCGAATAAATGGAATCAGATGCAGCCATTGCTCCATTTAAAAGGTTTCCACACAGGGAATGGTAACACGTGGCTGTAATCCCAGCCCTTGGGAGGCTGAGGCAGAAGGATTGTAAATTCAGGGTCACTGTGACTACACACTGAGTTTTGGGCCAGCCTTGGCTACATAGCAAGATTCTGTTTCAAGAAAAAGAAAATAATGGGGAGGGGGTGGGCAGTGTTTAGGGATGGAGCCCAGAGGCACAGCATTTGCTTGGCATGTACAACGCCCCGTTTTGTCACCCAGTGTCAGAAGGACTGTGGGCAGCAGGCTAGACCTGCAAGCAACCAGCACACTGAGAGATTTAAGAGCTGGTTTGGAAAAACAGAGACCACTGGCCTAACCCTTTTGACAGCTGACCTCTGCTTCTGGCCCTTCCGAAACGATGGACCACACCCTTTCTCCCCACTTCTTCTCAGAACCAGTTCAAGGGATTCCCCAGGCAGGTGGGAGACTTCCGGCTCAATGAGAAACAGAGAATGGACGGCAGGAAAACCAACTTAAACAAACTCGTTTTACTCAGCAGCACAACAAAGCGGAAGAAGTGTGGGAGGGTGACTCTGTCTACAGACCGCTTTAGGGAAACCGCTCTCCCTGTTCCTGATAAGATCTCAGACAGCCCCCCTCCCCCCCCCCCATCTAGGCAACACCTGACACTCACCAGTATTTAACCCTCTCTCAGCCAGTGGATCTGGAACCACTTTTCCACACCAGCCCTGGGCTGGGCACATGCTAGAAAAGCAAGATGTCCCAGCATTCTTGGAGCTGCCTGCCCAGTAACAGGGAAAGGAAGTACGTTTGCAAAAAAAAGAGAGAGAAATGGGATATGTGTTTGAATATAAATTCTGGAAATTTAGATACCCCAAACCCTTGTTTCATTATGTACTTGCTTAATGTCTGTCCACACCCTACAAACCGGGGCTGGGAATGGTGTAGAATGTAAGGGGACACCAGGAAAGCTCCATAGTCGAGATAAATAATATTTTAATGCAATCACTCAATACCAAAATTATTGATAAAATGAACACACTATTGTAGACAAGGTCATGGTTAGAACCTATGCTGCTAGCATTCTGGGCCTTCATCTTTTGCACACTCAACCCTGCCCTGGTGGCAATAAACTTTATCCTTACAAGTGGCCTATGGGCTATAGTTAGTGGGTTTGACTTTAAAAATATATATATATTGCATTATGTTACAATTTATTTTATCACTGTGCTTTTCAGAGACAACTGACCACCTTAAGTGGTTCACCCTTGTCCTTGCTGACTTGCTCACCTTGTTCTGGTCTTGCCTTCACATCTCCTTATAAAGAGAGTGGCCAGGTAAGACACAATGTACAATTAGATTCGAATTTCAGATGAATTTCAGTCTATTATGGGATAAACTTAACATAAGGAGATTATCCATGTCCATGGATATCTTCTGAAGTTCACATACAATGGAATATCTTGAGTTCCATTTGCTGAGCCCAGAAGCCCTGCTTGAGAAGTATCAAGGCAGTGTTCCTATCCATGGCAACATCCCCCACCATGGGCACATACCCCCCACCCAGGCAACATACTCCACCATGGACACATACCCCACCCAGGTAACATACCCCACCATGGACACATACCCCCACCATGGACACATACCCCACCATGGACACATACCCCACCATGGACACATACCCCACCATGGACACATACACTTTGCCCACTAAAAAGCAGCACTCCTTGCCATCTGCACAATGTTTCTACAAACAGTTCCTCCCTCAATCATTCTGTAACCTCTTGCCTTGTGGCCTCCGTAACTGAGCCTGGCCTTGGCTGCCTGACCCTCCTCAGCCTCCATAGGTCAGGTCAAATGCAGCTGATTTCCCATTGGCATGAAGGTCCAATAAGCCTGACAGCTGTAGAGTCTTGGGCTTCTTGCGCCACCCCCGGCAAGTCCACACTCAGCTGGAGTTCTTTTCCCTCCCCTGGGCTGTCAGCACCTGTCTGGGAGGAAAAATTCTTGTCCATGGGGCTTGAGTCAGGAAAGTAGTGGATTAGCCTCCTGCAGCAGGAAGCCTGGCTATCAAAGGATCAATGGAAGGATGTTCCTCTCCCTGAGGTATGTAGAACAAGTGGGCTGGTAGAAGCTGACTTCAGAAGGACAGGAGGACCCAGGAAGAAGAGGACAGAACCAATGACAACATTCAGAAGGCTTCCGGCAGCTGAGGCCAGAGAAAGGACAGTGTGGTGGATCTTCACTGTCAGCTTGCCTGGACTTAGAATCGCCTCGGAGACACACCTTTCACTGTGCCTTCGGACATTTCTAGAGAGGTTTACGTGAGGAGGGAAGACCCTGAACGTGGGCAGCACCATCCCACCCGCTGAATAAGGTGGAAAAGGAGCGCAGAGCACCAGCCACCCTCTTTCACTGCTGCCCGACTTCCTGGTTTGCCCAGTTTTGCTGCTGGTCTGATGTACAGCCTGGTCACGGCCTCCCCACCAGACCACGGCTTCCTATCCTGAGGAACACCTCCCAGAAGGCTTTGCCTCAGTGATGCTGATCTCTTACTAAGTGGATTCATCACCCTCAGC